CACACACACACACACACACACACACACACACACACACACACACACACCCCCGATATGTGAGAGGAGAGACTTGTCCCAGGTCTTCTTGGTTCTAAGACCAGCTCTCCTAGGTGGTCTATGCTTCGTAGTAGCATGTTTGCATACTCTGAAAATAGGAGAAGCAAGAGAAGTTATGTGTACTTTTATAGTAATTTTCACTTAAGGACTGATATTTGATTTTGCCATATTCCTCCTGATAAGCATTATCTTTAGGTTTGTTAGAGTTGTTTTAGTCTGATCAAATGCTTGAAGGAAAGAAACTGAAAATACACTTGTGAATATTTATATGGATATACATCCATATGTGTATATGTACATATGTATATACATATGTACATACACACATATATAATATGTATACTTGTATTAATATGTACATGCTTAGTTCTATTTTTTATTAATTTATTTTTAGTTTTCAACAATCATTTCCATAAACTTTTGAGTTTTTAATTTTTCTCCCCCTCCCTCCCCACCTCCATCCCCAATATGGCACACAATCTGATATAGGCTGTACATATACATTCCTATTAAACATATTTTCACATTAGTGATGTTGTAAGGAAGGATTAGAACCAATAGGAGGAACCATAAGAGAGAGGAAACAAAACAAAACAGAAGAAAAATAAAGAGCAAATAGTATGCTTCAATCTGCATTCAAAATCCAGAGTTCTTTCTCTGGATATGGATAGCATTTTCCATCATGAGACTTTTGGAGATGTCTTAGATCCTTAGGGCTAATTCTGTCGAAGTTAGTCATCACACAACATGGCTGTTACTGTGTACACCATTCTCCTGGTTCTGCTCACTTCACTCAACATCAGTCCATACAAGTTTTTCTGAAGTCCACCTGCCCATCACTTCTTATAGCACAGTAGTATTCCATTACATTCATATACCACAACTTGTTCAGCCATTCCCCAATTGATGGGCATCCCCTCAATTTCCAATTCTTTGCCACCACAAAAAGAGCTGCTATAAATATTTTTGTGCATGTAGGTGCTTTTCCCATTTTTATGATCTTTTGGGATACAGCCCTAGAAGTTACATGCTTATTTCTAAACACGTATGTACATACATGAATCTCTAAAATATATATAACTGTTTCAAATAAAATATTAGTGAATGAACAACTAAAATATTAGTGACTGAACAACAAGAGTAAATATAGTAACCAGCAAAATTAGCATTTTCCTTGGGAGGAAAAAAAAAACAAGGAGGTAATTAAATAATCCTCCAATCTCTGCTTACTATGGCACTAGAAATTACAGACTAAGGCAGGGGTGGGGAGCCTGCAGCTTCGAGGACACATGTGGCCTTCTAGGTCCTTAGGTGTGGCTCTTTGACTAAATCCAAACTTCACAGAACAAATCCCCTTAATAAAAGCATTTGTTCTGTGAAGTTTGGATTCAGTCAAAGGGCCATGCTTGAGGACCTAAAGGGCCACATATGACTTTGAGGCTACAGATTCCTTAGGCCTAGACTAAGGACAAGAGTAAAAAACAAAACAAAACAAAACATCAATTCCCTTACATTATTTATAAAAAAGAATTTTGAGTGATATAATAGGTGCTTTTTCAGTGATTATATCAAAATCAATGTGTATGTATTTGTCATTTCTGCCCCCATTCTGGCTGTCACTCTCTCCTTTGTATTCCTCAGCCTTTCTCCACTAGTAACTAGTTAAAAGAATATAATATTGAAGGGATACATTATGTAATCTTTCTCCATCATGGAAAATAAAAACATGGATCTTTAAAAACATGGATCTTTAAAAACATCAGTAGTTATGCAAAGAGAAGAAAATCTTCCTACATCCTATGTTAATAAATGCAATAGGAAGGATTTTGATTTATGATTTCATTACTCTGAACTATGATTGGTTAATCTTGTTCTGTTGGGGAATTTTTTTTGTTTCTTTCATGAAAAACAGTTGTTTATATGAATGTTCCTCAGTTTAATGAGTTTGGGATGAATACTAAGTTTTAAGAGTTCATGAATAATTAATTAGCATCTTGTTATTGGATATAACATTTTCCAATCACTTTTTATGGTAGAATTTTCAAAATGAGCTTGGACTTATTGGGTGCTTATGATACATATTGTCATTTGCTTTGTGTTCTCAGCCTAGAAATTTCTATTTTATTTTTCAAATGATTTAATTACATCCCTCAATAGCCATTTGCCTTGATTATGATTAAAACAATTTTAATGAAAACATTCTGATTCTTTTTTTTTTGTTTTGGTGAGGAATTGGGGTTAAGTGACTTGCCCAGAGTCACACAGCTAGTGAGTGTTATGTGTCTGAGGCTAGATTTGAACTAGGTCCTCCTGACTCCAGGGCCAGTGCTCTATCCACTGCACCATCTAGTTGCCCCAACATTCTGATATTTGTATTACAATTTCCATTCTTTAGTATTATTATTATTGTTGTTGTTGTTGTTGTTGTTGCTTTTTGGTGAGGCAATCAGGGTTAAGTGACCTGCTCAGGGTCACACAGCTAGTAAGTGTCAAGTGTCTGAGGCTGGATTTGAACTCAGGACCTCCTGATTCCAAGGCCAGAGCTCTATCTACTGTGCCACCTAGCTGCTCCCATTCTTTATTATTTCATTGTATTACCCATGCATGCTGCCAAGTGGTAGTGAGACCAGCCACTTAAAAAAAATAAGGTGCCTGGGTCAGTTACCCTTTGTAAGCAGCCTACATAGCTTTGATTCTCATCTTTTAGGCATCTTAGTGCAAAGCCGCTGGCTTATTCAAGAACTTATGGAGGAGCACTAAGAAGTCTATAGGTGTCATATTCATGAATGGAGGAAAAGGATGAATGAATGAAAAGGCATTTATTAACTGCTTGTTTTATGTAAATATTAATTAAATAAATAAGTTAAAGGAAGACCATGAGAATAAATAAAATGTCTATCTTAAATTTTGTACATCAATTCTTACGTAGATTTGTGTAAAAGATAAAAATCCATTGAAATGGTTCCATCTAGAAAAGAGAAACCTAAAGTGAAATGAAATGTTTCTCTTACATATTACAGCGCAGCACACTGTGATTTTCTTAAGCCCTTATGGGATCATAAGATAAGGGATAAGGGATACAATGCCTTTTGGAAGAATTCTAGTCCAACTCTCTCTTCCTTTTCTATTTTGTATCATGACTGATGAACCACTAAGCCCCTTGAGGGCAGGGATCATACCTCTGCGTGTGTATGTGTGTGTATGTGTGTGTATGTGTGTGTGTGTGTGTGTTTGTTCCTAACATTACAGGATTATAAAAATGTTTTTTGAATTAAATTAATTTTGTATAAAGAGGTAGTGTGTACAGGAGGGAATATATGAGTGCAATTAAATTCCATAAAGCAACAGAATAAGAAAAAAAGGTGAGTCTTTTTCTTTGGACAAGTGATTAAAGTTGGAGATATGGAATAAGAATTATAAGATATAGCAAAGGAAGGGAATAAACATTTATATAGTGTCTACTGTGTACCTGGTACCGTAAGAAGTGTCTTTTTTTAATTTTGTTTTTATTGTTGTTTTTGTTTTTGGAAGTATCTTATTGATTTTTCACAACAACCCTGGGAAGCAGGTACTGTTATTATCCTCATTTTATAATTGAAGAAACTGAGGTAAATAGAAGTTAAGTGATTTACCCAGAGTCTGAAGTAATGTCTGAGGCCATATTTAAACTTTGGTCATCTTGACTCTAGGCCCAGAATTCTATGCACTATGCCACCATCTTCTTTGTCTAGTATGGGTTCATCAAAAGGAAAGACAGTACCAGCATGACTTATAAGAAGTTTTTCCACCCCTGCAATGACGAAAATGATGTACATTCACTGGGGTTATGAGTATAGGTAATGATTAGACTCTCTCCCTGCAGGGGCTGGAGTAGTTTGGCTACTATGATGGAATTTACTTAATTTTGGTCACTGCGACAAATAATTGAGAACATTTTCTGGATAAGTTATTTCGAGTTTCCAAAGAAGGATACTATAATAATTAGCTAACATTTTAAATACTAGAAGATGACTGTGATTTGTCTTTTCACAGAAAATATCAAGAACCTGCTGATGCTATATGAGGAGGAAGCCGAGGAATGGGCTGTGTACCTAAGAGACGTCCTCCTCCATGTTGTAGAGATGGAGGCGATGCTGTTATATAGCTTGACCAACTCCTCTGACCGGCATTTGGACTCGCTGGACTTAAACTCTTATAAATGCAAACTACTGATATTATCAAATAGCCTCCTGAAAGGTCTGACCCCCAGGAAATGTCGTTTTTTGGACAGGCTGCTCCGTTCACCAGAGAGTGTGGTCATCCTGCTCTGTGGAGTAAAGAGTTCAGATGAGCTTTATGAATTATTAACCGTCTCCCGAGGCAGCCGGGAGATCTCTACTGAGCAGGAGCCGGAAGATTACATCTCAGTGATCAGGAGCGTCATACAAAGAGGTACAGCTCATCGAGTCTATTTAATTTTAAATTTAGTTCTCTTTCTTTTAACCAAAGAATAAATTACGATGTTAGGTCAAAAAAGAAAAAGAAAAGAAAAACCACATTATTAAATGATATGGTACCTTTCCTTTCAGTATAATCAAAGGTGATCTCTTGTATCCATTCTAGCCAAGCCTTGCCACTAAGTTTAAAAAAACAAATGGCTGTCTTATTTGATAGCCCTATAAATGATAAATGCCTTTTAGGATTGGGGAGGAGGGTTCCTTCCATTAGCTGACCTGTTCTGACTCATTTATTGCCTGTACCAAGGATGGAGATGACCAATAACAGTGTCATGGGAGTGGGATTGGAGTCAGAGCTGCCCTAGACAGAAATGCTGATAATGGCTTAATAATTATAATGTTTTAAAAGTTTAAATTATACTTTTTGATTTCATATCACCTTTATTGCCAAATACCATTTTCCACTCTCCCTTATCTTTACAACAAAGAATAAAAAAGAGAAAGTAAAAATGCAGCTCAACAAAACTTAACACATCAACCGAGTCTGACAACTTATGCCCTGTCCTGCATCTCTAGTCAGCCACTTCCATAAGGGAGAGAGGCACATTTTCTTATCTCTTTTCTGTGGTTAAGCTTTAATCAGACTTTCACTTCAAAATTTCTTAACTCTTGCCTGTTGGTTATAAAACTTGATGTCATGAACAGTTACCTTTTTTTTCTGGGGTGGATCTGCATTCTCATTGTTATAATGACTTCTCAGGGAATAAATCCCATCTACTAAAGCAAAACTGCAGCTTCTCCACAACTTAAAATCTTTAAAAGCTCCCTAGGGCACTGGGAGATTGAGACTTACACATGGCTCATGACAAACATGTATCTGAGAAAACACAACAACCTAAGCCTTCTTGACTCTCAGACCACTTCTGATAATATGGTGGTGTTGGTCATTGTGTCAGCATCAGGGTAGAGTAATCTTCAGAGGAGCAGGTCAGTTGGTATAGAGGTGAAGCAAACCAGAGAGTGAGCCCAGAGGGGAGACCTGGCTGGTCTTTTGTGATGACCTCTTCTTTTGCTAAATGTTTACAAACCATCTTCTTAATAATATATTCTATAATTTTGCCAGGAAGTAAAGTCAAACTCAAAGGCTCTATGTTGCACGTTTTAAAAAATCAGATACCATTTACTCTTCCCCAGTTTTATAGCCCTTCCCTTGTTCTTCGAGATCTTTCAAAGGTTGTTGCCAGTGGCTTCCCAGTCACAGATCCTTCCAGTGATGCAGTAGGTACCTTGAGGTAACAGGTAGCCCTGGGCTTTATCACGTAGAGAAATAGCATAGCTAGACCAATGTTTTAGAAAAACTCATCTCTTTTTGAATGATTTCCTAATCCTGAGCTCCAGACTGACACTTCCCCAGAGCTACTGTCTTGAATTTCCAATTACTTGTGCCTGTTCTGGAAAGAGCATTCTTCTGGTCCCTGGAATACATTATGTCTAAAATCGAAATGATTATTTTCCACTTCTTCCCTACCCCCAAACTATCTCTTCCTGTTGACTTCCCTGTTTATTTCAGTGGTGCTAAACTCTTGTTCAGAAACCTGAGGTTATCATTCATCAGTCTTTCTCCCTTCTATCTAGCTACACTATGTCTCAAAAGTTCCCTTGTTTCTTCCTTCAAAACCTGTCCTTCCTTCTCATTACCACTTGCTAGCTTATACCTTAAGTACTGGTAGTAGTCCCTTAACTATTCTAGAGAGGTAATATAGTATTATGAAGTGCTGGATTTGGATACCATCTTTCTATCTGTCTGTCAATCTGTCTACCGACCTACCTATCTATACATATGTATACGTATGTGCATTTGTATAATATGTGTTTCTGTATATGTATATGTATTTGCGTATGTGTTGTTGTATACAATTGTGTGTACATATCTGTATATGTATTATATATAAAATATGTGTGTTTGCATATTATATATGTTTATGTGTTGTATTGATATATATGAGTGTGTGTACATATTTGTATATGTATGTGTTGATGCATATATATGTACATATAAACATGTATTTGTGTGTATGTATATATGCTTGTGTGTGTGTTGTGTTTATATGTATATATGTGTGTATATATCTATATCTATGGCTCTTTCTATGTATATATGTATGTGTGTATATTTACACATATACATGCTTGATAGAATATAAGTCCCTTCAAATCAAGGACTAATGTGTTTGTCTCTATACCACAATGCTTAAAACTAGTGTAGATATTAATAAATGGGATCGATTCACTGAAGTGAGGAAAACCTGGGTTTGAATCCCATTATAAATACTTTCTGTGTGACCATGGATAAGTCACCTAACCCCTGGAACCCTTGTAAAGTGGCAGTAACAATCTGTACCAATTTCTTGGAGCTGCCATGAAGCTCAAGTGAAATAATATATATAAAGCACTGTACAAAACATGGAGTGCCATCTGTTCCAGTTATTAATATTATTGTTATTATCATTGTTGTTAGTATTATTCACATTTCTTTCAGGTTCTCCTTGCTTTCTATTCACCCTATAAGCTGCTCCTGGATTTGTCCCATCACTGTCCTGAACAGGAATATTTAGTAGTTTTTATTGCCTATTGAGGAAAGCTCCAAAGTCTTAGCTAGATCCCAATCTGCCTTTCCAGTCTTACCTGCCATTATAGTACCATATAATGTCTGTTTTCTACCTGTTGTTCTATCATCATAATCTTCCCTTTGTCTAGAAAGCCCTGTCTCCAGATCTACCCTTCAGAAACCTCCCCAGCCTAAAGGTCTCAGCCCAAATTATTTCCCTCCTAATCAATCCTCTGCTCCAATTGTAAATGCTCCCTCTGTCTTTTGGAAATCCTACAATGTTCATTTTGTACGATTTATAGGAAATTTATCTTCCATTGGCTTACATGGTAGTTTAAATAGAGACAATTTAATACAGTGTAAATAACTCTGGACTTGAAGTCAGAAGGATCTGGGTTCTAATACCAACTTTGTTATTCACTGTGTGGCCTGAGGCAAATTGCTTAATGTCTCTGCATTTTCCTCATTTGTAAAATGATGGTGGTGAGGCTAGGTGGTCTCCAAGATCTGAATCTATAGAAATGATTTCTCATCACATCAATTAGATTGTGATCTACTTGAGGGCAAGGACCTTGTTTCCTGTATATTTATTTCTCCTATATGAGACAGCATTGTCCACTAAAAACATCCAAATATTTTTTGAATTAAGGGACACGTGAGACAGAAAACTCTCTCATCCACAGGTTAAGTGGGGTTATGAGGAAATGAATGCTCCATAACATTATAGATCAGGAGGGTATGACGAACGAGAGGAAGGATGGATCGCAAATTTCACTGGGCATATTTGGAAGTTTTATGTAATCCATATCCATGAGGCACATCTTGATGCTCACCTCCAGTGATCCCAATAATTGTTTTTCTCTTTATTTTTGCTTTTAAATTTATTTTCCTTTCATCACCATGAAGCATTCCATTAATGAAATCATTATATTTTGCCTGAGGATTTGTAGGCACTGTAGCAAATTCTTAAAAACAACAACATGTCTTAGTGATACTAATTATTGCAAAGAGAATTGGCTTAAAATGTTCAAAAGAAGACAGAGAATCTTCTGAAACATTTGAGATTTAATCACTTACTTTCCTTAAAGGAAGCATTCAATGATCTTTATTGGAAAAACGGGTAATTGACAACCTGCTATCTGGAAATACTTGTCTTCTATATCTTATGCCTGGTTCTCTCCAACACTATTACCACCAAATGTCAATTAAGAGGGAAAGCTCAGGGGGTACATTTCTTTTATTTTTTCAAAAACCATTCTATAATTCATGGGTTCCCATGGAATTTTTGTATTCTGTTTTAAAATGATCACACATTTGAGTACATGTGACATGAATTATTAGGTGTACTTGAAATCAAAGTTGAATCAAAGAGATTCATTCTGTATACTAATAGATTTTTTAAAAAGGAAAGGAATGAACATTCATTAAGTACCCCCCAAATGCCAGGCATTGTGCTAATAGTTTTTATAAATATTATCTCCTCATCCTCACAAAATCCCTGTGCTGTTATTACCTCTATCTTATATTTGAAAAAACTGAGGTAAACTTGCTAGTCACCCAGCTAGTAAGTGTCTAAAGCTAGATTTGAACCCAAGTATTCCTGACTCCAGACCCCGGGCTCTATCCATTGAGACACCCAGCTGATTAAAAAAAAATGAACAGAACAGCATCTGTAGGCACATTATACATACATGCATGCACATACTCTTTTGTTCTATTATAAATTTATACATGCATACATATGTATAGAAGTATATACATGTATAGAATATTACTGCAACTACACTCTATATATGTTCTATTATGCACACATATGAATGTATGTATATTACATGTTTACATATATGCGTGTGTGTACATAAACACAGACTATATGTGTATATGCATATGTATAAGTATACACACATACACATATACACACACAGTCCCATGTCTGTATGTCTGTATGTGTGTATACATACATACATATATATATATATGTGGATAGAGATAAATATCTAGCTCTCTATATCTGTCAATTTATCATCTATCTGTAGGACTATATGTGTGATTTAACTGGTATATGGAATTCCTGGGTGAGGAAACTTCCTTGATTAAGGCATCGTGGCACTGTCTTTGCAAATTACAATCTCAGAAAGTTTCCTAGAAACTGAGAGATTGTGACTTGTTCAGTATCAAGTAGGTCTTCCTGGCTTTGAGGATGGTTCTTCATGTATCCATTCCAGGCTGTCTCTTTGTCTATACACATGTGTATATATACACCACATATAATTGTCTAACTTATATAATCAAATGCAAACATTTAAACGGTGGTAAAATTGCATATGCTATGGGGTGACCATGTTATAGGTGAAGTCATATGTATAAAAAAGCTTGTTTTGGCATGT